GCATAATTTAGGAAGTCCCCTCGGGCAGACATCATTCCTTGACGGGCGCTAAGCAATGTGGCACGTCTGTAGGAGTAAAAAGAAATGAAAATGTTTAAAAAAAAGAAAGCAAATGTGAAACTTACCATTATCATAAATATGCAAAATTAGGAACTGAGAATATCCGTAAATAAAAACTCATTAACCCTGTGACTCTGCTTTAGAGATAAAAACATTGTGCATGATTTACTGTCATGTACTTTATACAGGAAAGGAATTCTAGTGTCCTTTAGAAATGGACAAGGAACTCCTTCCCTACAGAAGACCCCAGTAGGTCTGGGGTAGGGTCCCCAAATCTATATTTCTTTTCTTTTTTTTTTTTTTTGTTTTAAACTTTTTTTCAACGTTTATTTATTTTTGGGACAGAGAGACAGAGCATGAATGCGGGAGGGGCAGAGAGAGAGGGAGACACAGAATCGGAAACAGGCTCCAGGTTCTGAGCCATCAGCCCAGAGCCTGACGCGGGGCTCGAACTCACGGACCGCGAGATCGTGACCTGGCTGAAGTCGGACGCTTAACCGACTGCGCCACCCAGGCGCCCCTCCAAATCTATATTTCTAACAAGCTCCTAGGTGATGTTGATGCTGTTCTGGGGATCACACTTTGAGAACCACTATCTAACATGATACCAAAACACAAGCAACAAGAAAACACAGCACTAGACTTTATCAAAATTAAAAACATAGGTACTTCAAAGGATACCATCAAGAAAATGAAAACATACAAAAGGGGACAAAATTTCTGCAAGTCTGATAAGGAACTTAAGTCCAGAAAATGTAAGTAACTCACACAACTCGATAACAAAAAGACAAGCCAATTAAAAAATGGGCAAAGGATCTAAACAGACATTTCTCCGAAGATATACAAATGACCAATAAGCCCATGAAATGATGCACAACATTTAGCCATTAGGGAAATGCAAATCAAAATCAAAATTAGTTACCACTTCACACCCACTAGGATGGCTACCATTAAAAAAAACAAAAAACAAAAAAACCCACTAGTAACAAGTGCTAACAAGGATTTAGAGAAATTAGAGGCCTCACATGTTGCTACTGCGAATGTAAAATGATGCAGCCACTTTGGAAAAGTCTGGCAGTTGCCCGAAAGTTTAACAGAGTTACATATGATCTAGCAATTCTACAACTACTAGGTATATTATCCAACATAACTGAAAACGTATCTATATAAAAACCTGTACACTAATGCTGACAGTGACATTATTCACAAGAGTCAGAAAGATGAAAAACCCAACTTATGAATGGATAAAAATGTGGCACATCCATACAATGAAATATTACTAGAAAGTAACATATTGACTGATAATGCTAAACCTGATGAACCTTAAAACCATTATGCTAGGTAAGAAAAGCTAGGCATAGAACAGACATATTGTATGATTCCGTCTATATGAAATGTCCAAAACAGGCAAATTACATTATAGAGACCAAGAGTAGATCAGTGGTTGCTTAGGGTGGGAAAGTAGGGGAAAATGGGAGGTGACCACTAGTAGGTATTTTTGTGGAGATGATAAAAATGTTCCATAATTAACTGTGATGATGGTTGTGCAGCTCTGAATATATTCAAAAGTATGGAACTGTACACTTTAAATGGGTGAAATGTACATGAATTATATCTCAATAAGGTTATTATATTAGGGTGAGAGCCACAGTGAAGTAAAGGGAGAAGAACAAGTCACCAATCTAGATCTATTATCAGAACTCTGTTATTCGGGGAGTGATGAGCCTTACAAAGACAAGGCTTGTGCCTGTTGGTGGAGCAGGCTTCCTAGGACAGGAAAGCAGAGGCCTCCCAAGTGGTCCAGATCTCTCTGCCAAGCATTCAATTTTGCCTTCTAGACATTTCCATCAAAACCTCTCCCAGCTCCTCAGTATTTTCAAAAGCCAAGTATGTCCATTCTACTGCTCTAGATTTTTCGTTAATTTTCCTATTAGTTATTCAGAATCAAAGTCTAGCTGTAAATTCTGCCTCCTCCTGCTCTACCCCTCAACAAGGCCCTCAATTGTTATATGATTTCAATGCTTCTCTCTCTCCTCCTTCCTGGCCTTCACCAGCCCCACTTAAATAAATCTATTACCTTTCAATGGCCAATTCCAACCATAATCTCGTTAAGGTTCCTAAGCAGTCTCCTAGGCCCTTGTCTTTCCCCTGTTATGATCCTCCCAAAGTAGCAAAGTTATTTCCCTGAGCCAAAGCTAGAACCAAATCCTAGGACTCTGACCTCAGGTACCGGGCCCTTGCACTATACGGCACAGCCCCAGTGCTCTAGTGTTCAATGTTTGGGCTAATTCCTACTCCTGAAAAAGGTCATTTTATAACTGAAAGAAAGAAGACAACAAATACATAAAGAAATATACTTTAAATACAATTCAAAAGACTGGGGGCTGTAGAAAAAGAAATTGGATTCGAGGAGATCAAAGAACAGCTTTGGTAATCCCACATACTTTCCTCTTCCCGAATACAAAATGCATTCATACTCAATCATGGTCAAAATCTTCCTATAAATACATGTCTTTCAAGGGACAGGGGAGGGAGGAGGGGAAGCTTGGAGGACAATGAAACAAGGATGTAGATCAACTACTTCAAAAATGAGAAGTATTTAGTATCAGATTCCTAACATGAATGAATTTTGAAAAAAACAGCTTGGATTATAAACTAACTTATTCTGCTTCAACCACACAACAATTTAAAAAGAAGTAATACACTTCCCCCCCTTCAAAACAAAGTAAGGTCTAATGTAACAGCAACCAAAAAGCTCTAACTTCCTGGGATATAAGGGCTCTAACATATAAGCATATATGAAGAATTTCATACCGTCTGCCTTCAAGGGTTCGTAAACTAGCCTCTTCTCGTGCAGTCATCCTCTCTCTTCGAGCTGAATTCTGAGAAGCATGAAGAGGATGATTTGGATGTCCTGGATCACCAGCAGATGCTAATGCAGAACCATAACGTAATTGAGCTTCAGTAGAATCCATAATACTGACCATCCAGTTCCAAGTGGGAATAAGCTTTTCTTCTACATAATTCTATGAAGACCAAACTAAAATAGTTAAAACTATCCAAATAAAGTTAAATTTGATATATAGTAGTAATCTATAAACATTTAAGTATCTGTAATATTAATTCCCATTACATTGGAATTTTCATAATTGACATCCCAAAATGTATTTGGAGTAACTTTTCAATGTTTTCATACCTGTAAGTTTACTGCATCTTGATAAGTCAATTTCACAGCTGCTGGAATCTGAGAGTACACTAGGTGATTATACTTAGGAATAAGGCCCATCAAGTCCGAGATTTGTCTGATAACAATGCTGTAAGCCCTGGCTAAACTGCTCGCAGATGTTAAGTAGCTGCTGGCATTGCTAGCTTCCAAAGCAGCTGCTGCAGCAGCAGCACTCGTGCTGATGGTACCACTCCGGCGTAAATTTGAAGGATCAATATAAATCAAACCCGCTGAACTTGCTACAAAGGAAAAAGGACAACCACAACAAGCTGTCAGATGTTAATTGTGTTTCTCTAGCACTGTATATATTTAAAAGATCAACTGTAACGGCAAATATGGTCACCGAGTGAAAAACGTGGTCTTAAACCACACTAATTTAAGGGAGGGCAATGATGAGAGAGACAAGAATTACTATAGTGTTCTCAACCAGATGCAATTTTGCTACTGCCCCTGCCCATAGAGGGACATTTGGCAATGTCTATAGACAGTTTTGGTTGTCACAATAGGTGGGTGGGGTTGGAGGAGAGACTGCTACTGGCATCTGATGCACAGAAGTCAAGGATACTTCTAAACATCCTATAATGCACAATCACAAAGGATTATTCAGCCCAAAGTAATCATGGTACAGAGACTGAGAAACCTTGATATAATCATATGTAAATACTTTGTATTTGAACTCGGTAAAACAATGAAGAACTATTATGAAACTACTTGATTTGTATAGATGAACATACATAATTTTTAAAACCTACTTAAGCACTTTCAAGAATACCAAGTTTTCAGACTTGCCTGCTGGTGTGGATGTGCTGGAAGGGGCCGTGCTGGCTGCCCGCTGATGTTGGGTGTTGCGGACAGCCCACTGCATGGACCGGGGAGCTTGGGCAGCACCGTTGGCATGGGAGCTATTTGTGGTTCTCTCTAATGGCTCATCAAGCATAAAGGTCTCCTGTTCTATGTCATCACTTTGACTACTGCTGCTATCAGAGTCACTTGAGTCATTTGATTGCGAATCATCTTCAGAAAAGAAGGCAGGAACACTGCTTGCACCTAAATTTTTCATTTTTAAAACCAAAATCAATGTCAGTCTGTTGATATTTAAAACTACTTAAAACTACAGTGTACTCCGTCATTCAGGAAAATATTACATATATTAAACAGAATGCCAGGCTATAATAGTCCAAAAAACTCATCATAAAATAGTTTAATTACTGGGGTGTCTGGATGGCTCAGTCAGTTGAGCATCCAACTTTTGATTTCAGCTCAGGTCATGATCCTGGGATCATGGGATCGAGCCCTGTGTTGGGCTCCACACTGGGTGTGGCGTGGAGCCTGCTTAATTTCTCCCCTCTCCCTCTCTCTCTCTCCCCCACTCTACTTCCCCCTCCCTCCCTCCTTCCCTCTGCTCCTTTCCCCTGCTCATGTGCTCTCTAAAATAAGGGAAAAAGGATAAAGTTATAAAAAAGCTTAGCCACCCCTTGTACAAATCGTAAGGAGTATAGTTTAACCATTTCATGCTGAATATAAATATGGCCTTAGTATAAGCAAGAAAGCTGGATAAGGAAAAGGTAACATACCTGCTTCCGAGCCAGCGGTTGCTGCTGTGACAACACTTCTACGCCCACTAGCATTATCTTGGTTGCTATGGTTACTTTCACTGTCACTTTCTGTTTCAGCTGCTGCTAACAAGTCCAGCTCCATGTCACTCCCTAGGAAATATATTTAAATAAGAAGGAGGGAAAAAATATAAGCGTACTCTGGAACAGACAGGGTCTAATAAGCCAGAATATCCTAAGTTAGCGGGGGGGGGGGGGGGGGAAAAGTGATTATTATTACAGTAAGCATAACTGCCTGCTTAGAAGGAGAAAAATGACTAGGCAAATTATGGTCCTCAGTAGACTATTACACAGCAATTCAAAATCTGTTCTGCATAGCCTTAGGTAAAAAGGGTTGGACAGGAGAACTTCCCCCAGTGGGTAGAACTCTGGGCTGGGACCACTGCTCCATTTTCATCTGTTTTACATATTGGGATTCCAAAAGAGGAAGGACGAAAGCTAAAAACGTCTATCTAGAATTTCATGGTATATACACATCAAAACATAAAATTATAAATGTGTGCAGTTTATTGTATGTCAATTACACCTCAACAAAGATGATCCCAAAAAGTCTATCCAATGGCTACTAGTAAGAATGGTTATGGTGGTAGCAAAAAGGCCAAAAGAATTAGTCAGTGGGGAAAAAAAAAAAAAAAAGGCACAAAAATTACACATACAGTATCTAAAAGACATGCATGGGAATGGGGCAGCAAAGGGGAAGGCTGAAAGTAAAAATACAAACTGTTAGGTCCAGGTGGGATTATGGGTCATTTGTTTTCCTTTTCTCTAAATTTGCAAATATTTCCTAATATGATTATGACTATTTTAACTTCCTTATAAGAAAAGAGAAAGTTAGGGGCGCCTGGGTGGCTCAGTCGGTTAAGTGTCCAACTTCGGCTCAGGTCATGATCTCACAGCTCATGGGTTTGAGCCCTGTGTTGGGCTGTGTGCTGAAAGCTCAGAGCCTGAAGCCTGCTTCGGATTCTGTGTCTCCCTCTCTCTCTCTGTGCCTCCCCTGCTCACACTCTGTCTCTGTCTCCTTCAAAAATAAACAAACATTTAAAAGAAAAGAAAAAGAAAAGAGAAAGTCAGGGGTGCCTGGGTGG